GGGAGGTAAACTAGCAGCAGAGTTTCTGGGATCAAAGTCGGAGCAATGTTCACAAGAAACTCACCTCGAAGTGATACTTCCCTCCCAGTAAGTGGCTCTGATGTAGATTGCCTGCAGTCTCTGCAGAACTTGCATCAGCTGTTCTCGAGTGGCTGGGAATCCTGTTGGAAGCACAAAATTGGTCTCCACAATGTCGACTGATGCTGCATATCTAGTTGTGGCAGCTGGCTGCTCCAGCGCAAAGTGCAACAAGTAGAGGTCACCACTGTACAGCATCACATCGGGTCGACTCAAAGCACCTCCTGTAAAAGAGAAGTTAATAATGTTTGAATGGCTTTGAATGGTCACTCCTCATAAATTTACCATTCACAACACTGTTTATCAGATATTATCTTTGTGCCTTTTCAGTTAATGATCTCATTTGTCACTGAAAGACAAAATATTCAAAACTGTCTGATTTCAAATGTAATCATAATTCTAAATACTAAAATGGCTATAATTTCTGTACAGAGTTCAGATTACTATTTAAGACTTAGAAATCAATGAAAAATTTATGGCATTTTAATAGTAAATTTAAATTTGGAATTCTTATTTAATCAGGCAAAAAATTACTGCTAAAATTAAAATAAAAACATTCTATGCAAGGTTGACTGCCTCTGTGGTCTAGTGGTCACAGTTCCTGGCTACAGATCTAGAGGTCCAGGTTCGATTCCCAGCACTACCAGATTTTCTGAGAAGTAGTGGAGCTCAAACAGGGTTCACTCAGCCTCATGAGGATAGCTGAGGAGCTACTTCAAGGAAATTACAGCTCTGGTCTAGAAAACTGAAATTAACGGCCGTGGGGATTCATTGCACTGACCACGCACCACCCTCTATCTGCTAAAGCTGGCACTAATTTCACCGACAAGCGGCAGTCACTCGGTCAGTATAGTGCACTTGCAGACTAGAACCACGGAGTTTTTTTGTTTTTTGTTTGTTTTGTTATGCAAGGTTTCTGCCGCTCATGGCAGGGAATATGTAAGTGATCATATTCTGGAATGTGATGCCATATAGTTTGGTAATGGGTAACAATATTTTGGAGGCAGTGGGTTCCTGTCCACCTAAAAACATATTTTTTTCAACACAAAGATAAAAGGTGAAGGCCGACAGTCAGTCCTGTTATGCTGCACATACAAATGTACTGTTGCAACGTTATTAAGGAAAATTACATTGCCATCTATTAAATAAGTATTCACAATACTGAAAAAGGTTTCAAGTAAAAGATGTAAATCTTACTGAGTTCTACAATCTGTTATTATGCATAAATATTTTTGATGAGTCATTTATGAGAAAATTGGTAATTTCAACATAAGTTTATTGTACAGTAGGCTTTACAGTATGCCACAGGTAAATTTGCTGTACAACATGGTGTTCTCTTATCAGTGAATATGAAGATTACTGCCTTCTGAAATGCATTACTTTGTAGTCTGCTGAAAAGGTACTAACATTTTGGAAGACATTTTCAGAGTAAATGATGAGGCAGCAAATTCCTCCAAAATATCAGTACCTCCCTACCATACTACATGGTGTCACATCCCAGAAGATAAGTAATCTTTTGCTTGTTAATGTTCGGTGTAAACTCAGATATCAAATTTTAATGAACTCCAATCTACGGTTTGTAACATAAAATATGCAAAGTAACAGACACAGTCATGAAGAACAAAATCTCCTGAACTGTACTGCCATTTAGTTTGGGGACAACCCAATGTTAAAGAAGAGCATGTCACCTCCACCTTCAGAATCGAAGAGTAAGCCAAGCAAGAAACAGGAGGGCAAGCTGAGCTCTGGCTGGGTACTTTTTTGCTTACCCTTCAACCCTGAAGATGAAAGCGATATGCTGTTTCGAAATGTGGGTCCACATTCAATAGACTACACAGCATTATATCCTGGAAGATGGAACTCTTCAAACATAGGCATGTCTATGCTATGCACTCATCTTATGCCCTTGGTGTGTATGAATTACACCTCCAAGAGGAAAGGAACTCCTGCTCAAGATATAAAGACACAATGTACCAAAGAGTCCAGTTGTGTAGAAGATGGTGTAGTTGAGAGCTCCTCCATATGCTACCAGTTTGTTGCCAAGGTACGCTGGTGATGCTGAGAAGTACACAACTTTCTGATGTGTGTCATCAGATGTCAGGTCCACCCCAATGCTGTGGCCTGAATCAAGTTGTTCAGGCTCAGTAATCAGATTCTCAATGTTCACCGTCTTTTCTACGTCTGCAACTGCCAGACTCCAGTCTCGCATATCCTGCACCTGCAAAATGGCATGGCATGGGGCAGGGGGTTAGTATCAAGTGGAAATGCAAGGAGGGTCAGACCGGGTCAGACACCTGAGCCCAGCACTGTGTTCTCAACAGTCACCACAAGTCTCAATGCCACAGAAGGTAATGAAAAATTCTGCCTGAAGCAGCATGAAACTCTATCTCAGCTATTATGAAATTTTGCTTCAGGTAGCAAGAAATTCTGCCCCCAAGTTCACAGGAGCCTGCTGCTACGTCTTATCCTCAGATAGAAGAATCCCGTCTACTCTCCCATTCTATTTCTATAAGATCTGTTTTGACACTATCCTCTCATGTATGTCTAGGTCTTGAAGTGGTCTCTTTCCTTCAAGTTTTACCATCCGAAATTTTTATGCAATTTTCTCTCATGTGTACTACATGCCACTTCAATATCTTCAGTCTGTGTCTGAGTCCCTGCGTATCATTTTGTAATATGCTGATTTTTATGGTGAGGAGTTGTTAAACTCTCAACCAATTAGCAAACTAGAAGACTATGCTTTGTCAGTTGTATGTGACTGCTTATTTAATAATTTACAGCTACCCTCCATACATGAAGGTGCTTATTTTCTGTAATATAATTTTTGGACATGTTTTCTGGGGGCAAACAAATGCATACATTACATGAGTAAACACAGTATCCTCTAAGCTTCAAGATTTGTCACAGTCACTATGTACGGACACATCGATATGCAGAGGTACGAGGACACAGTACCTGGGCCCTGTACAGCTGTGAGCTGGAGCAGCGTGTTGTCTTGCCTGAACAGAAGCACTTGGTGCAACCATCAGGGTTCTCCAGTTGGATGTTGAATGTTCCTTCCTTACATAAGTCACATGCCTGTCCCTCCACATTAGCCTTGCAGTAACATTCTGCAGTGAACTGAAAGTCAAATGGACATAAAATTGGTACTGGAATTTTAATTACATGCTCAGATTAGTGACAAGCTATGCAAATAAGTAATTAAAATAAATGAAAAGGTTTCTTGGGATATTAAGATTTCTGCCTTTGGTAATCTGATGCCACATAATCTGACTGATACATGTAAAGAGTTTCAAAGCAACCTGTAGCCTGAAGGCAGAGCAGGTTCCCCCAAAATTTTGGAACCTATCAAACTATATGGCATTACATCCCTGAAGACCATACTCTTAATATGCACTGGGGGAATCTGCTGTCTCTATCTTCAGCAGATGGAGACAGCACAGCTGTCAAAAAACACTTGCACCTATCTGACAAACTACAAAATGCCACACCCCAGTACACCATGATTTTAATTATCCTGTAATGAGAACCTCAGATCTCTTATTTATAGAAAACATTTCTCATTAAAGAAGAATAATGATATATGAACTGCAGGGATTACATAAATCACCAGTCACCACCCGCCAAAATTATTTTAGCATACTCTATCCATCTCAAATTTCATTTGGGAGAAATGAGTTGTCAAAACAGGATAAGTATGTAAAAGCTTGGAGGTTATCACAGTGGTAACTATGAATAGTACTGTCTTCTGGGATTTGATGCCATATAGTCCAGCAGAAGTTCACCAGGATGTGATGCTGTGTAGCCAACTGGATTACATGATGTTATATCCCAGAAGATAACATTCTTCATGCAGAAGCTTAACTGAGTCACTCACTGTATGACTGGCTGATCACAGACTACTGACTAGTGTTGCTCAGTCACTTGTTCACTCACTGTCCATTTTTTCTGACTAACTCACTAGTTGGCTATGCAAATTAACCAAGCACCTCTTGCTCATTTGTCTTTCAATATATGATATATATATTAGATTTGAGGTTCTCACAGTAGGAACTATGAAGAGAACAATCTTCTAGGTTGTAACACCATGCAGTTCAAATGAACTTCACCACCATTCATCCAAAATGTCGGTGCACTTTTTCTGAGCTACTGTATATGGCATTACAGCCTGGAAAACTGTACTCCTCATGTATGGTAGAATTCTTACAGCATGTATACCTTGTGCAGGCAGAAACACCTGTATTGTTTTGCTGTAACACAAACCCATATTTTTCATCACAGGCAGGTTAGCAACAGATTATTTGTATTCATCCATTTCTGCCTTTCTGTTCTCTTTGGCATTAAATACAACTATTATTCTGGACAACATCCACCATCTTGAGGATTTCAAACTGTTTCAGAAACTGGAGTTGATTCTGTTATCAGCTGCAAGGGAGGAAAGATTCCTATTCAGCAGGGACATCAGAAAGATGTCCAGTGATCAGAACTAGTTCCTTTAAATGGGTCCAAGTAAACAGAAACTGATGACAAAAACAGATCCTCTTTCCAAAACACTGTATTTGAAATTTAAGATGATGGACATTGTCTAGAATGAGTCTATTTTAAACCTGGACTGCCAACCCTCACCAGAGAACTACTGAAGTGAACGCAGGTTACACACAAAGTCATAATACTTCCCTAAACAACACTGAATGACTATAAGTATAAATTATATGAAAGCCTGTCATTTCTTTAGACATCATTATGTCACTTTTGATGCCATCTATTGAGGGAAATGCCATGCTAATTGATTAACAACAAGCAGATCTCTTTCACTGTGGGAGTTTAAAGGCAAGTATCCAGAGTAAATGTAAACGGGTCATGTTGCACAAACTGGTACGGCAGCATGGCAAAAAAACAAACAAACAAATTGAACCACTTTTGCATTATTTACTAACTGAAAATTTTTAGGAATTAAACTATGTTCATATAATTAATTACTGCTTGTGGGGCATTTTCTCATATGCAAATGCTATTATAATTCCCACATTTTACCAAACATTAATACAAGTCACAAACCTGGTCACAAATGTCAAGTGTGGTTCCCCTGAGGTCACAATCACACTGCTGGCAATATGGAAAGCTATGATGTCCTGCCACACAGCGGTCACATGTCCTCCCCACCACATTTGGTTTGCATCTGGATACATAAATGATCATGCTAGACTTTAGAGCAGAACATCTTTCAACAGAAATTCACAAAAAATCATGTGGAATGAAGACATAGTAATAAAAATCCTTAACCTTAGTCTGTAAGATCATGAAAACCACAAAAGTTGTTGATTAGCTGGAGTGGTTAACCCACAAGCATAGATTCATATGGGTCAAGTCTCATTTCTTCATACAGCCTTTTCAGTTTCAATTTGTTGCTTTCTCATTCCCACCTTTTTGGTTGTTTTCCAGTACCTTCATCTGGAATGTCCCACAGATTTATTTCCTATAAATTTTAATTCTAATGCCCTTCTCAGTATCCTCGTTCTAACCTTTCTTCTTAGACATCCAAGCCATCTCTCTTCTTCCTCTGCCAATAAAAATTTAAGTCCAATTTCTCTTCTAAAATTTCATTTCTAATTCCACCCCTTCTTATTTACCCCCAACTATCTCTCAGAAATGTCATATTCATTGTTGGAATTGAGCTTTGCTTCTCTCTGTAAGGCCTATGTTATATGTCAGTGTCAGTTTAAAACATACTCTACAGACTGCTGATTTGCGTTCTTTGGGGATACTCCAATCCATAATATTCTTTTCACAATTTGATATCTGTATTTTGTTATATGTGATGATAAAAAACATTCTATACGATAAATGATATAATGATACAAATTCCGTCCCAAGTGCAAACAATATATTATGTGTCCTTGATCTTGTTCACCTACACTACATGTTTCGGCCTCAGACGGCCATCATCAGGTGTATAACACTCACGTTGCTGTCACACTGCACTCAGCCCAAAATTTAACATTTATGTTGTTATCAACATCTACTTCGTTGATATCTGTCTGGATGTAGATTATTTTACACACGTTAATTTTGACGTATCTGTAGTAGCACTATAAAATCTTTAGTTCTAATTTTAAAATCCTTTAAAATTTTTTCTCTAAATTTTAAATTTAAAATTGTTAGGGTTACTCGCCCTATGTCTAAAGTGCTGCAGCGGCTAGTTCTTGTTACCACACTGTACAGGTGTTATCCTGTGTAGTCTTCCTGTGTGCATGCCGCTGTTATTCTTTACTACGTGTATTGTAAACATTCTATATATTAAATAAAGAAAACATCATGCCGCAATAAATAAGAGTGAACTTACTCGCAGCTGCCATTGGAAAGATCACACTGCAGGTTCCCGTGCACCACACCTAAAGGTTCACAGTTGCACTCTTCACAACCAATGATTGGGTCAAATCCATAAGTGTAGGCAATGCACTGATCACACTTCTCACCCGTTACCCGCACTGGACAGATGCACTCGCCTGTTATCAATAATTAAAACTCTTTATCACTATAGGCGAAGAAAAAAGCAATCAGCACTAAACTAGATATCACAGAGAATGGTAATACACGGCAAAGTTGTCCCTGTGCTTAATTAATTAAACATTATGGCATGAAGACACATGAGGGAGAGGAGGTACAGCTCCACCATTCTTGACCTCATCACTAGATGGAAGTAAGTCATCAGTTTCACTCCCCAGCTACTTTACGCCTGGGGAAAGAGGCCACAGTGCCTACCATATAGGAGTCTGGGTGGGCTCCAGATTTGATCTGGATGCTGTGGAATACAGAAAAATCTCTTGCCCCTACTGGGAATCAAATCCCATCCATCCAGTAGCCCATCACTATATCAACTGAGCTATCCCGGCTCCCCATAGAAAATGGTAATGGATTAGTTAGTTATTGGAGAGGGTGGGTTTCCCCATGCACTGAGACCAGTATTGGTCCATTGTGCTTCCCTCTATGATATTCTACCAGTCTCTATACCCTACCGATATTGGTGCGTGCCATTAGTCCCGACTGAGCCAGTGAGTTCAGCCTCTACTGGCTTGGTGGTATCTATAATGCTTCCCCCATCTATCAGAGGCGTTAGAGACTAATGTTGGGCGGGAAACGTCCTTGAATTTGGCTCAGTGACCTCCTTTGGAGATATGAGGTTCTTTTACGTGCCGTAAAGCTACGACACGGGATCCACGGCTTAAAGTCCCTCCCAGAGGACTTGTTCCCTGAATTTTTCCGCCCTTAAAAATTCCACGACCTCCGCCGGGTTTGAACCCACGTACCACGCATCATGAGGTGGGAACGTTACCTCTAGACTACGGAGGCCGCTTATGGTAATGGATTACTTATTCTTTTAAATATCAGCACTTATAAATATGTAATCCCCAATATTCCCCTTGAAGCAACCTTGGCTATATGAGGTTTCTGCAGTTTTTTAAATTAGTATCAGCATTTCATTAACTGTGCCACTGTACTATCATCCAGAGAAGAGACGAAGAAGCAAGGGGTGTGTAGAAATGATCAACCTTGGCATTTTTGTTGTTTATTTAATAATATATTGAGCCTCTGTGTACCAATGGTAATGGCAAGCATCCAACAATTATGCTGATATTTTCCCACTGTATGTGTGGATGGGCCGGTCACAGTAGCTGAGCAGTCTAAGGCATGTACTGCCTTCGCTTGCTTGGAAACCGGGATCATGGGTTCGAATCCCACTCAGGGCTTGGATGTTCAGTTTGTGTGTGTACGATATTTTTGTGTTTGTGTACAGGTAGAGGCCTTGCGGCGAGCTGATCACCCGCCCAAGGAGTCCTACTGAATGTGTAAGATCTAGAAAAACCGAAGTGAACGGAAAAGTTCATGGACATAGGCCTAAGCCCACTGGGGCCGTTAATTGCTGCCTTCTCACAATTGGGGGATAGCAGATGCTACAGATTATTAATATTGTGTGAAAATGTACAAGTATCAAAATAAATTGAGAACATGCCATAGATGGTGAAGATAATCAATTCTCTCAAGTCCTCATCAATATTTTCCCCTCCTTTTGGCACTACAGCCCCAATTTGGGCCTTGGCCGACCTCCATAGCTTCATCAAATTGTGTGAAGAATTATATTTATAGGCACGGATTTTGATCTTTGCACAAGTAACTGTGGTGATACTAGTTACTTCATATAACAGTGTTAAGAAGGACATTTCTGTTGTCACCAACTGATCATATATTTACAAACAACAGGATGTTAAGAAAAGGCAGGATATGTTTCTGTAAAATATTGTTAGAAAGCTGTTGATTGTGCAAATACAAACAGTTCTATGTATTCACTGGATACTTTTCTACACTTCATTGAGCAAGTTGGCTCAAGATGTAATGACTTGTTATTTTGGTGGTGTCAGAATAAAATATTGGCCAGGACACTGTCTGTCCCCACTGAGGTTTTCCACAGTCTTGTTAGTCCCTCCAGGCATAGGCTAGAATAGTAGATTAAATGAGGCCACAATCACATCTTGACACATTGCAGTAACTTCATTAATCCTTTAAGGGCTGAATTTCACCTGAATAATATATAAAATGCAGTTTGTACTTCACAGGAAACACATCACGTCTCTGCTACAAAGACCAGCCAGTTAATGCTGTTTAGGAAAATGGTTGCAGTTTATTGTGAGAACCACATGAAACACACAAATACAGTCTTTGGGAAGAATCCAAAGTTGTGGTATGTTAAAACATGTGGTACCACTGGGCTTTAAAGGGTTAATCACTATCATCCAATCATTCAATGCAATATTATTAGAATTACAGAAAGGACTATCAAATAGACTACTAACAAATAAATAAATACTCTACACTTCAGTCTTCAAATTATACAGCTAAATGAATCTGTGGAATTCCTCAGCTAGAGAAACAATGAAAGTTACTTGAAGTAGATTAACAAGATTTCATGTCAACAAGACAAGCACCTGAAATAGATTAACAATGTTTCATGTCAACGAGACAAGCACCTGAAGTGGATTAACAAGATTTCATGTCAACAAGACAAGCACCTGAAGTAGAGTAACGAGATTTCATGTCAACAAGACAAGCTCACAGCGACATTATTTTTCACTACAATCAGAAGTTACAATAATTTCTCCTCAAACTTTACCTGTATAAGTTTCACAAAGAGCAGTTGAAGGACAGTCACATGGTTTACAGTCAGGAAAACCATAGAATCCAGTACGACAGGCTTCACAACGTCGCCCAATAACATTTGGCTTGCATGGACACTGGCCACCGAACTTTTCACACTCGAAACTGAGTGATCCATCAAAATCACAATGGCATGGCAAAGCTCCATTATTGTAGTCCGCAGTCAGGGAGAACACAGCATCATTGCAGAAACCTGAAAAGTAACAACATGAACTGGAAATTAATCAGAACTGCACCATAGCTGATTGTGTTATCCATATTACAGGGAGAATTCAATCATGCATTTTTTGTGTTTCACAATTTTATGCACTTTTAATTTGGCTCCAGCCAAAACATTAAAATATAACAATTTTTATCTTCCATCAAATTTATGTCTTGCCCAAATTTATGCTTCATTTTTTAAGTTATTATCCTTAAAGAACAAACTGATATTGTACAAACGCATAATTAAACCTATATGGACATATGGAGTTCAACTGTGGGGCTGTGCAAAGCCATCAAATACACAAATCATCCAAAGGCTACAGTCCAGAGTTCTACGAACAATCACCAACGCACCCTGGTACGCCTCCAATCGGACGCTCCACAACGACCTGCAAGTCCCATATGTAACAGACGAGATACAAAGATTAGCTCTACTCTACAAACAACGGCTACAAGGACATGACAACAGATTAATTGAAGAAATAAGAAACCCTCCCAACGTTGCATGGAGACTGAAGAGACAGTGGCCATCCAACCTTCCGAAAAGATTAGGTTAAGCAATAAATTCTAGCATCAATTGTGCTTAAGAGCATTGACGCTGGTTGATTCTCTACTCACATTCCTACTTTTAACCAATTTACTTATTGCTCCTTACTGTAGTGAGTAGTTTGTAAATTCACAAAGAAATAAAAAAAAAATTTAAGTCCTGACAGTAGAAATTAGCATGATTTTAAGTTTACAGCATTCTACTTTGGAAGATTCAAAGAACTGCTGGCAATATGCCAATCATATTCAAGGTGTGCCATAGCAAAGTAAGTTTACTGTCATATGTTTGTGAGCAGACCCAGAGTTTGGATTGATAGATGGATTTATTGGACTCTTATAACTACAAGTAGTAACTACAGGTAACTATAACACAGTCACTAATTTATACACTTAAAAAATCATTATATCACATGTTGAGTTTCAGTCTGTTACAATATTCTCTATATATTCCTCAGTTACAGGTCCCAACAGTGGAGCTTCTTCTTCTCTTGTGCTTACATCATTAATGGCTGGCTACCATCTCACAACTGGTTCTCAACTGTTGACTCTAAAACAGAACTAGCCAACTAACTGTCCAGTATCTTCATTATAAGGCCTCAGCATGAACCACATGGAGAAAACTGCTTCCAACAGGTCTTCTATTGTTGTGTTTGTATCCATTCTTGCAGATTCATGTTTATCAAGCTGTCCCCAAGTAATGGCTGGCTTCTTCGGTCATGTCATATTATTTTTCACAGAGGCCTACCATCCAACAACATTCACAATGATGACATAAATACCACACAAAATCGAAACAGTATACACACACAAGGATAGTAAACCCACCAAGTCAACAGTGGAAATAACAACTGGACCAACTCCAATCAATATGGAGACCACACAGAGAAGGGACAATTCAAGAGATCATGCAAACCATGGTACAACACAGAGGACACAGAACCACTGCAGCAAATGTGTTCATCTCCACCATGCACATTACTAAGTGAATCAACTGTAAAACTTTAAAACTTAAATCAAATCAACATTTTGAAAATTTCTAGATATTGTAACACTAATTCATTACAATTTTTGCTGGCACTTCTCAAAATGGTGTAAATTCACAGATGGTTGTCAAATTTTAGATTATTTATTAGCAGACCATACACACTTGGTTATGTCTATGGGCCTGACCCATAGTGAAGGAGTCTTCGGCTAAAGACTGCAACAGACCGAAATTGTCACCAACCACCAAAATGCAGCAAGAAGCTATAGGTTATTACAGAAAATTTAATACACTACAATTAAAACCTTGTGTTAGTGAGTAAATACCATCTAAAAATCTGCAGACTTAATTTGGATCAAAGTCTCTAGCCACAAACAAACACCTGACACAGTTTTCTTGTCAGTAAATAAATTATGAATTTGGGTTATGTGCTATTTGTTGCAATGTGGTGTATACTAAAAAAACATTATTAATCAGCAAATCTAATTGCCAGGTCATATTAAGCTTGGTTATGTGAAAAGGAAAAATGCAATTTTGAATCCTTTAGAAAAGCACAAAAAAGAATTATGTGTATGTGTGCATGCACGTGTGTAGAAGTGAGGGTAGAAACTGCAATTAAAGCCCTACAGATAGATTTTAATAGATGCGTTCATACATACAAAATTGTTTCCAGAGAGCAAGAATGTGACAGTCCAAAACTGTAGGGCAAAATTTGTGTGTATGGCTGCATATTAGGCTAATTATGCTTCTGTTTCATTTGATAATGTGACTCATACAGCTGAATGCTGCAGTTATAGAGCAGTAAACCAGGCTCAACTAAAAAATTTATATCATGATTGGCTATGAGACTCCTAATACCCTACCTTCTGTATAATTATCCATGAAGAAGTGATTATGGCCACAATCTTTGATGAATGCTCCTGTATTATCCACAGGCTCCTCAGACAGTACATTTTCAGAATACTGTTCAGCTGGGATCACCAACACATAGTCCAGCCATACACCCTTGTGACTTGCCTCCTGTAAAAACATTCCATCCAAATAACAATTGTATCCTGCATCTCCACTTTAAAGAGTTTCTCATATTGAATGGGTAAGAGCATGAATACATTCTAGAAAAATACTACTCTATAATAAATATACTAAGAATGAAGAAAAATGGAATAACAAATCAAGAATTGAATAGCATAGAAGTAACACTCAACACTGAAATCAGATTTCAGATTTGAGGTACGAAGAACTTGTGTGAACTGATGTTTCAGAGAAATGTATCGCCTTCATCTTCCAAAACATCGGTTCACACAAGCTCTACATGATGCCATGTCCCGCAAGACAGCATCCTTCAGATAAATCCTTGTCTTCTTACTTGTCTAGCATCATTTCTATTTTATATGAGTTCATAGATAAAAACTCTCCACTCTCTTTTTCATCTAACAATCTCATTCACAAATTTCATTTCTAATTATACCCCTCCTTGACTTTCCATCAATTTTCTCAAAAAATTTCAAACAATTAGAAATCAAATTTACAAATTGGCTAGAACTGAAAATTTGTTATCAGAGCCAGAAAAGGGACTATTACAGTGTTCCGGCCAAATAGAAATAATGGATGGAAGAAGGATACTGGGAGAGGAATTAGAATAATGAGACATAATGCATGACCCAGGACAAGAAGGTTTAGCCAGTTACTGGGTGACACCAGAAAGAGAGAGAAAAAAAAAAAGAGTTGAAAATACATCCAACCCTTCAGGCACTAGTAGGGCACATATCCATAAGAAAAAGCATTGTTTTTGTATTCAGGAGCTCAAAAAAATGTAAATCCATCAAAATTTTGAAACTCATTTTTTGCATGGTCACATTATTTTCCCATATATATAATGTGTATAAAACAAAGTGTGGGGAAAGACTGTGGGAAGAGAGGAGACCGAAGATTTTTCATTTGATTTACATATATGGAAATGACATGAGAAGGAGAAGAAACTATATTATTCTCCTTCATACACATTTAAGCATTTCCACACATTCATCAGCAAACCTTCAGTGTGAAAACGAAGTTCTCTGTCAGCTGAAAGTAAGAGTCGCCATCAGCCTGCTTAACAATTGAGCGGCACCCAGAATTGGAGGGGCAGTGCTGAACAGGTAGTTTAGCTTCATAGAACTGACCATTATGCACCAGCACTTCCAGGTCAAACTCTGGAACACATGCCAGTGTTATAAATACCTTACTACAAACCATGATTAGCTACAGCTACATGAATGTAAATGTAAAGATATACTGTTCTTCTCACTGTTCACACTCAGAAATGTGGTTTTACAGCTCCCACAAATCTACACTCCAGTTCTGACCAATATAGGAACTGCTGTGTATTATTTATGTGTCACTCACTCATTCACCTCCATGTTTAATGCAACTTTAAACTGTTCACAATCTCTCTTTAATCTAAAGTAACATTAACCGTTCAGCGTGGTTTGACGTGTATGTTTCGTCAGGTATTTAAATCGTCTGGGGGGGTTCGACGTGTATGTTTCGTCCAGCTGCACACCTATGTTATAACGCCCATAATAATTGATGGATTTGCTGTAGATTGTTAGATTTTTCACTGGCCTGTTGTCAGGAGTACCGTATTTAATGACACACGAGTTCAGCTGCGCTAATTCATCGTTACATATGCCTGTCTTGCAGCAAAGTTCCTGTTGCTCTTGGGAGAGGTTTAGTCGGTCCAACTGTAATGGATGGCGTGTTTTCTTTCCTATGAAGTTATAAACAGCAGAGACGTGATATGTGCTGTGTTTATAATATCATATTGCCCTGAGCTGGCCACACTAACACACTCAATTGGAATTCTTAGAATAGGGATGTCTAAAAATTTATTCTTGCATGATCGATTGATTTTGCACAGTATATAGCACCCAGTTCTTAGAAAAACGTCACGAATTAAGGCAGAACACTGTGGTCACCCCCTGAGACGATACGGATGTGTGTGGGGGAGGGAAAAGAACTCATTCCTTCATGTATTATCGCTCCAGTTGACTCCATTTTATCGTATTGACCTTGGTGGTCGTTTCGAGGGATGACCATAAATATTTTTTTGAGCCAGCTAAGCTCTGCTTTCGTTCACTACATACCAGCCAGTTCTTAGAATAACTTCATGAATTCTGTGGTCACCCCTACGACGTCTTATGCCGCCAAAATGGATGGAAAATGAAACGCAGAAGCACCAACACTTGTTATGATAACATAAAGGTTGAATTTACTGCAGCTAATCTGCCTAGCGATACGACTCACGGAGAGACATTTCTTCTTATATTTCCCCCACGGGGAAGTAGGCAAGGCCACACAGAAGATGTTTTGTTTACGGAAAAAAGAGCCAAATGAGAGATACGCAGTACTGGTATGGTGATGTGAGTCAGCGCTGTGTATAGTAGAATGCTTCAATGCGTGCAACACTCCGCTCAAATTCTGAACCACCACCGAGATACCGGGCGCTCATATTATAAGGCAAAGTTATAAAACAATCTTTTAAGATCATTTTAGTGAAAGTTTCATGCTTCAAGGCGTACGATACACTGCTCAAATTCTAAACGAACTGCTTCCATTGCCGAGATACCGGGCGCACATATTATAAAGCAAAGTTATAAAACCACCTTTTAAGATCATTTTAGTGAAAGTTTCATGTTCCTATCTCATAGAATTTAAGAACAATGATGAATAAATCATTTTCGAGCAAAATTTAAATGGCCGGCTGAATATATTACCGCCGGAGACGCGGCCGCGGAATTTAAATGACCGCGCCAAAGGGTTAAAATCCCCTCAATGGCTGCATGTTTCAGCCTTATTTGGCCAACGTCAGGTAACTGTTTGCTTTTTGAAACTGTCGCACTGCACTAGATCATACGTCAATATATTTACATGCTGTTGCATATCACTGTCCACACTAAAATGCAGTTGTCTGAGAATAAAACTCATTCTTCATTCTGCGTTATTTTCCTTTTGTGGCATCCATGTTTGTGCCCCTTTCACATGTATGTTCTCACTAGTTGGGAATATGTCCACTAAATTGAAGAGAGGCTGTGAACAGTTTTATTTCGCATTAAATATCGAGGTGAATCAGTGAGTGAGATATCAGTGCAACGGGATGCTCAAGTATAATATTATAATGTAAGCATATTCTCTAACATAATAAAGTGAATGTATAATGAAACTCAGATTTAAGAGAAAAATTACATTCCAATTGTGTATTGCAGGATATTCATACGCTGTTAGACAAGAAAGGACGATATACTCTGATGTGCACAGAGAAATAATTTCTTCTCGTACACTATAAATGCAGAGCCTATGTTCATCTCATGGCTCACCTGGGTGGTCTGGCTGGTAATAGTGTACAACAAACACATACTGCCCAGGGTGAGGCACCTTCCCACTGACATCAATCATGGAGTCTCTATGGTCGAGGTAGACAAGACCTGTGTTATTGTCATACACTCCTGGTAGGACTTTGGCCAACCGCAGTTCATTGGCGTACTCAAACTCTACCTGCAACATAAAGGAGGCATTGACTATGATAACTGTCAAATTACTGCAAACACTTATCAAAAGCAAACTATTTGAATTAGCATCCATTGTTTAGCTTCTGTCAAAATTGCAACACTTTTTACATTCTACACTTCAACACTACATGTTTCAGCCTCAGCCATCTTCAGGTGCTTTTATGTTACAGATATTATATTAAAACTGTGTTAAAAACTGCTACACTGTTTTAATTCATGTTAAAATCAAACACTGTAGTCTTCTTAAGTAAAACGAGATAAAATCCTTTATAAAATTTCTGTTGCATATTATTTCACCTCAGCTGGGGTGTCAGCAACCTTGATACATTTACGAAAATGAATCACAGCTACAAGTTCTAAGAGTGCAATAAATCCAATTAGCAATCCAAAGCGCATGTCTAGTCACTAACACATGATAATACATTAAGATTTCACTAAGCGGCCTCCGTAGACTAGAGGTAACATTCCCACCTCATGACTCGTGGTACGCGGGTTCAAATACCCGGCGGAGGTCGTCGAATTTTTAAGGGCGGAAAAATTCAGGGAACAAGTCCTCCGGGAGGGACTTTAAGCTGTGTGTCCCGTGTCGTAACTTTACGGCACGTAAAAGAACCTCATATCCCCAAAGGGGATCCCTGAGCCAGATTCCAGGACGTTTCCCGCCCAACAATAGCCTAAGGCCTCTGATAGATGGGGGAAGCATTATAGACACCGCTAAGCAAGTGGCCGAACTAGCTTGCTCGGTGGGACTGATGGTACGCACCATTTATCGGTAGGGTAAAGAGACTGGTAGAATATCATAGAGGGAAGCACAATAGATCAAACTGGTCGCGGTGCATGGGAAACCCACCCTCTCTAAATAACTAACTAACTAACTAAGATTTCACTATTCATGCTGTGGTCTTCTAGATTAACGCTGTGTAGTCTAGTGGGTAGGTACCAACATTTCAGGAGAACACACTCCTTTAATCTTCCTCTCTACCCTGAAGATGGAAAAGTACATTCCCCTGAAACATTTGTAACTACCTACTAAACTGTATGGTGTCATATCCCAGAAAACCATAGCTTTAAAACTCATCATCAGGAGATCATCAAATTTCAAACAAGAAATAAATAGTTATCTGAACCTTCTTGGAGTCAGGAGGTGTCAAGAATAAAGCCTGGATGCACTTTCCATCCTTTCTTATGCAGGCAGGCTTTGGTTGTTGGTAGTCAAGAGACCACTGATCGTATGGGATTGCCACCAACGATTCGATGCCCACATTGGAATTGTTCTCTCCCTGGAAACATGACAACAATAAGAATGAAAGCAGTCTAAAATGTAGGAAAAATTCTGTGAGATATATAATAATTATTAATCTGCACAGAGCCAGAATATAATATAAGAGTGGATCAATGGAAGGGCATTTTGTGGAAATCATAGACAGAGACAGGAAATGCATAAGTCATTCTATTTATTCTATTCATAGTCATTCTATTAGTTTTAGAAAAAAGTGTACCTTCAAAACCACAAACACATTTAAAAATAGGGCCAAGCCTCTGATGACGTATCATACTGTAGGCAGTTTGCTCTTTGAATTCACTGATTTTCTTTCAAAAATTTAATTAAGTAAGCAAAATAAAGTGAAATGGCTCTGTACTTAAGCACTGGTTCATGATGACGTACAGAGGGCAAGGAGATACAGGTCCACATGTTTAAACCTCTACACCAGATGGAATTTCATACTCAAAACAGGAAGAGAATTCCAATTACACATTTCACAGGAGGCTGACTAGCCCCAGAGGAGGTCTGGAAGCTGTGCAGAAGAGACATCCCTGCCTTACCCAGGAATCAAACCTTGCTCCTATAGCCACTAGTGAGAACTGATCCATGTCAGCTCATTTTGAGGACTTAATAGGAGTAGAGCTTTCCCATAGACTCAGGGCTTGATTATCTGGATATATTAAGAAATGAAGTTTCCTTTCAAAATCCAGTTAAGTTAAGCAGAAAATTCAATATAAAATTAGTGTATTCTGCAGATCTCAACACCTACTACTGCTATCCCCATTCTTTTGTAGCAGTTAGAGGTGCAGAAATTTCTACTATATTTCTAATCCTATGAGAGAAATACTTGAGCCAGGATAGTGCAGTCAGCATAGCGACTGGCTACAGGCTGAAAGGTCAGACTTCAAGTCCTCGTAGGGGTAAGATTTTTCTTTCCTCCATGTCATCCAGACATGCTCTAGGGTCCCCCCACCCTCCTACGTGAGGGGTACTGCAGTATTATTATATCCTGATTACATTATCAATTATTTTCACATTAATCATTTTTGGAAAGCAAGCCAGGATAGCTCAGTTGTCATAGTGACAGACAATGGGTTGGATAGTTAGGGTTCAACTCCCAGCAGGAGAAAGATTTCTCCCCTCTTCATAGCAGTTGGACCAGCTCTGGGGCACACCCAGCCTATCAAATAGGTATTGGAGGGGGGCACTCTTTCCATGGAGGTAAAGCAGCAGGGGCATGAAGCTGGCAACTCACCTCAACCTGGTGACATTGTGAATAATGGTGATGCCATACTTCCACTTCCCCTTACATCTTTAAGGTGTGATGCTTAGTTAAGCATGGGGACAAATCTGCCTTCCTTTTGCCTTCATGCATAATTTCACCTTAAGGGCAAATATTTCTAACCTGATGAAAAACCAGATGTTCTCTATTGATTGTGATCTTCTGGACTGTGTCACTATACAGTCTTGTTGGTAGATACCAATATTTCAGAGGGACACACTGCCTTCATCTTTAGGGTTAAAATGGGATGAGCAAAGATGTGATCAAGTTATACCAGCAGGTTGCAAGAAATATAATTACTCTGTTCCAGAGGAAGGTGGGACAGGGTGGAGCCTGGTCGAGGCCACCACAAATTATGGACTAAACCTGCACGAGAGAGGAACTGATTGCAGACTGAGCCAATAGGAAAGGTGAAAAGGAACTGCAAGAAAAAAATACCCTTATTAGGGACAAGAATAGTTAAGTTACAGAAATTACATTAAATTGTGAGAAAAAAACTGTTTTATTAACCTTATTCCATCTTCTCTTCCAAACCTTCAGATATGAGTAACAGCGTAACCTGCAACATGTTCACTTGCTCACTCTACTCACTCTGCCCCTGATGATGGAGGCAGGAAGTTGCGCCAAAACATCAGTATCCACATATAATACTGCACGGATTCATGCCCAGAAGAACACAATCTGAACACTCACTTCTGTGAAGACCTGAACACGTAAGCAATGATCTGCACTTACCTTGAGCACTGGATTGATAAAGTTGCTGTCAAACTTGAACACAGCAATGCGTCCCTGCCTGTCCGTCACTGCCTGTCTACAGAGAGATGTGTAAGGGCAAGCATACAGGGTTGCCCGCCCCTTATCTCTGCCCCGCTGTGTCCTCGTTTCTATATGCACTGTAGTGGTTGAACGGTTATTAACAGGTGTCAGGTAGTTGATGAGAAGAACATGGCGCCCTGGTTTGGAAACTCGCAAGTCAAGGTAAATCTCAGGTTGATCTTTGTTCAGCAAAGGGAGGTCATTGGTGTTCAGTTCTCGCAGATGCTGCAATCATAATGAGCAATGGAATTTCAAATTGTACATAAGTTTCTACAGAAATTTTAGAAAATTCATATAGTGACGTCCTTGTTTAATGATCTATGAGGGGATATCTTCTCTTACTCTATATTGAAAGCTTCATGAACTGAAGTTATCCAAAATTACATCAAGAAATTGTTAATTTTTTACCAGGCTTAGTGCATATTATGATAAAACAATTTATCTATAAACTTATTTAAAGAAATTATTTCTACACAAATAAATACTATGATATAATAAATAATATGTGATAAAATTCCTGCCCATTTCTTCATTTCAGACCACTGAGAATAATGTACAGCTGTGTATTAATACAAGGGAAAGTTACACAATGTACATGTGGAAAATTAAGTGTATGGTGATAATTCTGAAGTAATAGCTATTACAGAAATTTATAAAACATCTTATTCCATTCTCTTTGGTACCTGAGGGTCAAATCAATGACTCCTGACGGTTACAACTGGTCAAGCTTTGATTGAAAGAAATGTATTTCTGCCATTTAAAGTTAATGCTGAACTAGTACATGGCCATTGTGATGTTCTGCTACCAGTTGAAGAAAAAGGAAGGTTAGCTATTTTTTTAAGTTAAATATTTTCTCTAGAGAGCAGCACAGCTTAGTGCATCCTGTTATTTTGTCAGGTTATTATCATATTACAAATTTCACTGCTTTCCAGTCAAGTTACTGAAGTTTGGGTACTTTGGACAGATATTGTTTTTAAGAACTTCCCAATGACACTTCAACGGGCCTCATGCTAATGAGATAGGCACCATCTGCAATAAGTGAAGTACTTTTTGTACGTTTAGCATGAAAGTGAAACGAAAGACTTTAAGTTACCTGCTCATCTCTGAAGTACACATCCAGTGGTTTCCGTTCCTCATTCACAACGCGATACCCTCCCCCACCACGCACCATGTCAAACTGTGTCAAATTCGGATAGCTGAAATGGCGACAGAGTTCTCTATTGCCAACTTCACATGGAGTGTAGACTTGGTCTACTAATAATGTTGCCTCGTAGAAAGCAGCTGGCAGAAGCACAAAATAATCCTGCACACACAATTAGCTACAATCAGCCAGTATTCACCAGTTCATAAGAATCTGTACATCAGAGCAATAAACTTGACTCTTGCTATATATAAACCGCATCTATGGTCTAGTGGTCAGCGTTCCTAGCTACAGATCCAGAGGTCTGGGTTCGATTTCCGGCGCTACCAGATTTTTTCTGAGAAGTAGTGGGTATGGAACAGGGTCCACTCAGCCTCGTTATGATAATTGAGGAGCTATTTCAACGAAATAGTGGCTTTGGTCTCGAAAACTGAAATTAACGGCCGTAGGGATTGTTGTGCTGACCACATGACACCCTCTATCTGCAAAAGTTGGCACTAAACTTCACCGACAAGCGGCAGTCGCTCAGTCAGTATAGTTCGCTTCCAGACTAAAATTACCGAGTTTTGCTTTTGTTTGGCTTGTTATACATATTTTCCATACCCACAATTTTATTTCAGTATCAAAAGAAACATCAATGTCCAGTTTATGGCAAAGGCAGAAGCCACTGCACTTACCCACTGAGTTATTCAAACAGTTTTCCTGACTGAGCTGCCCCAACATATTTATTCTGACATGTTAGTTTCTATCCCACCTCCACCATGCTCAGTGTTTATCCAGCATTTTTTCCACTTTATGCATTTTCAACATATGCAGCAATGTTATAATTATTAATGGATATAGTACTGAAAATTAATCACACTGCCACTTTTTCATTTACTGAAACAAAGTTTATGAAGGGCTGAATATACCACTAAGAACAATATATTAGTTTCTGAATAAGAGAAGTAGACATAAATTAACACAAATAATTACTATACAATTTTCACTGCATGGTTTCTCATAACGAAAAACCTATGTCACAGCACTCACTATATTTGATGGGACAGTTCTATCAATATATCAAAGTATGTTTCCTTGTGTGACAAAATTTTGCATCCATTGCAATGAAAGGTTAGTCTATTTCTATAATGGTGAAAGTGAAGTTGGCCATATTCAAATAATTAAGCACTATGCCATGAAGGCGGATGGGGGAGTGGATGTATAGAGCCATGTTTTCTTTACCTCAGCACTAGTTGGAGATGAGTGGTCTGCTTCCCGCCCTGGCCACTTTACCGCTAGGGTAAGAGCCCCCAGTACCAATTGGATAGGAGGCTGGGTGCACCCCAGAGCCAGTATGGACGACGTGGGGAAATGAAAATTCCTGACCACACTAGGACTCAAACTCCAGCCCCTACTTCATCCAGCTCGCAGCCAGTCAGTATACTGACTGTGCTATCCTGGCTCCAGTCTATTTCTGTACCTTTTCTAATTTATATGTTACTCTATGCAGCATAATGTTTTTGTAATATTTGTCACTTGTCACTATGTCACCTCCATGAAAAACTAATCTCAGTAAGTTACAATAGCACCTAAAGATAGCAGAAATAAAGAATATTTCAGTTGTAGAAAAGTGTTGACATTTGCCAAATGAAAGGTGCCTCTAGACTGTTGTTGTTGTAGTCTGTTGTCTTCAACATCATTGATGTTGTGCGTATTCTACCCAGATGTCTTCCTTGAATTGTAGCCAGAGATGGATTATGTCAAATTTTCCTGTTGAATTTTTGGTGGACATTCCTAGCATGAGAGCCTTCTTTTGTGTTCAATCTGCATTAACTTCTAATCCAGTGAAGTCCAAGTGTATAGCTACAATTATCACAAGACAAAGAGGGCCTTACAGTACTTACCAGAAATAAGCTCTTCTTATTTTTTATGCTGACAGACCAATGGCCAGGATTCATGACAAGAGGAGACGGGATGATGCCCGATGGACCAGACACAGTAGTGAAGACTGGCTCACGGGATGGTTTGAACTGCACCAAGAAGTTCTGTTCTATGTCATTAGGATTGTCAGGTGTGATGGTGATGGCACCCACTATTGGTTCCGGGCTTGGATTCTTATAGCGTAGCACCATGCGATATAACGATGGCTTTGAGATGTATACATCCTGGATTATCTCATTCTAGAACAATTAAAATTGTCAGATATGTAAATCTGTCACTGTATTCAGCTGGCACTTGCTGTAACAATCATAAAGTTAAATTCAGAGATACAAACATTTGCATTTCATTCTGTGGGCATTCTTTAAACAGTTAGAGGCCTAAATAAATTAAGTATATGCACAACTCATAATTTTTAGACTGAAGTGATAGAAGGGAGAAAAATGGGAGTACAGTGAGACAGTACATCAGCTATTCATAGACTTCAGGAAAGTCTATGATTCAGTTACGAGGGAAGTATTGTACAATATTCTGACAGAGTTTGGGATACCCATGAAACTAGTTAGGCTGATTAAAATGTGTTTAAATGAAACGAACAGTAAAGTCCGTATAGGTAAACGTTTGTCTGATAAATTTCCTATCCAGAAGGGTCTAAAACAAGGAGATGCTTTATTGCCACTCCTTTTCAACTTTGGTTTAGAATATGCCATTAGGAAGGTCCAGTAAACTGGGTGGGACTTGCTAATAATATAGATACCATAAAGAGAAACACACAAACTTCAATTGACACAAGAAAGAAGGTTGGTCTAGAAGTAAACACAAAGAAAACTAAGTATATGTTGCTGTCTTGTCACAAAAATGGACGGGAACAACGGGAAAGAAGGGCAGACATTTAAATACATTAGAGAAATACCATATATATAAAATAAGTAAGAAAGGCTTACACATGAATGATACACACATAGAAACACACAATCCCATATTTCAAACGATACACGAAATCTACACAGACTAACGGTACCTCTCTCTCCCCACTACCCATCCCCCCTACACTCACTAACATAAAACACAGCACACAATACAGCAGACAGCACACGTAGTACAGACAAGCAGCGGCATTCACACAAGAAGACTACATTAAGTAAGTACAAATAACAATATACACACATAAGAAAATATTACGTACAGAAAATATTACGTACATAAAATAATAATACGAATATTTGTATATTACAGATAACACCTGTACAGTGTGAAAACAAGAACTAGCCGCTCCAGCACTTAGACATAGGGCGAGTAACCCTAAGAATTTTAAATTTTAAATTTAAAATTTAGAAAAAATTTTAAAAGATTTTAAAAACATCATAACTAAAGATTTTTAGAGTGCTACTACAAGAATATCGGGTTTGACGTGTGCAACATAATCTACATACCAGACACATATCAACGATGTAGATGTTGATAATACGAAGAATGTGACATTGTGTTTTTAAATGTTAAGTTTTAGACTGGGTTCAGTGTGGCAGCGACGTTAAGAGTATACACCTGATGATGGCCAATAGAGGCCGAAACATATAGTGTAGAAAGAACAAGATCAAAGACATATAAATATATATTGTTTGCACTTAGGACGGAGTTTGTATCATTTATCGTGTAGAGTGCAACAGGATGCTTAAATATAATATAGTTTCAGTTGTGCTACATACTCATTTACCACTACACACCGATGTAAGCAACAGCCCTGACCAGGCTGCACATTATCATATCCTTGGTCTTCAAACTAAGGTCTTCAGCTCTGTGCCAGCATTTGGCTGGTCATGTGGTCTGGAAGTTAAATGCATCAGCTCAGTTGGCATAGCATCAGGCACTGATTATGAAAGATGAAATGGAAAGACCGATGACCTGATCTGATTACCTGAAGCTGGGAAAATACTGCATAGCCTTTCCAGGAGTAGCCTCTGAAGACATGTTCGTCAAACCCATATCGTGCTGAAGTACCGGCAGGAGTGCGCCCATTCTCAGCTTCATACTGATACTGATAGAGGGTGGGGAAGTAATGTGCCTGTAATGGCTCCTTGCATGTCCGTCCAGTGATCCTTGGTCGGCAAGTGCACTGCCCAGTTTCCTTGTCACAGATGTTGTTGACAGAACCACCAATGTCACACCCACAGTCTAAACAAAGTAGATGTTAATGTCCCATGTGGTGGCTTCATGCAAGTCTAAATGTTTAATGTTATATGACTGAGGTACAATACCAGTTCCTTGCTATCCAAAACATGGAAATGTACAGTCCAATACTGGCCAAATGCTTAGTGAAATATTTCCCATTTCTGCATCGCTTGTTTGCTTTGTGATGAATATGAAAATCACTGTCTTTTGGGACCTGATACCATGTAGTGTGGTGGAAGGCTAATGACATTTCAAATGAACCTGTTGCCTCCATCAGCATACCAGAAGAGTAAGCTGCATAAGAAAGTGACAGTACAGATATAGGGAAAGAAGGAAAGGAACTGGACCACGAGTGGGTCGATCGGAGATGGTAGAGAGAAAGGTAGGGCTGCAAACAGGCCAAAAGAAGATGGTAAGGGTTATTACGGGTACATCCTATAATTATTTATAAATAACACACAACAGGATGCATACCATAAAGGTTACATCCTATTGACCAGCTAGCAGCCCTGTTTCCCTGTCACATTTCCATATGCCACTTCCCACTGGCCTGTTCATGGTCCAGTTTCCACTTCTCCTTTACATATCTCTGTACTCATTTTCCCACTGTGGAAACCTCCCACAGTGCATAACAGACAACTCCAGCAGCACACTGAAAACAGGCAATATTTATACATCGCTTGCATGGACACCAACACAAGCACTATCCAATTAGCGCTCATAATCACAGCTTCATCGCCAACTGGCCAGGGCCACCACGGTGGGAAGCCAGTGACTAACTGCTTGAGCTATGGTGCGGCCCAAAATGCTAACACAGTTACACTGGAATTTTCATTCATAAGGTTGCCTACATAAGGTATGACATACACTGGATCTTACTACAATACTGTAACACTGTAGTTTTCAAACAGAACAAAAGCAAAACTCCAAGCAAGAGACATGAAATTTTAGAGAACTAGTAAGGAGCAAAACAAGCAGGGATAAAATTAAAAACAGAAATTTGTAAAGGAGATGAAATGGTAGAAATGTAAAGCAATCCCTGTAATAGGCCATGGAGGCCCACAAGGTTGTGAGATGTTTACATTTTCTACACAATCAGCTCACAGATGGCCATGAGGTTGTCAGCCTTACATGCTGGCCGCTCTTTACCCCGAGTAAGATTCCTGGTACTCATTTCTGTTCAAGGCCGAGTCGACCTCAGAGCCACAGTGTGACTGGAAGGATGAGGTCAATTGAAAAATCCAGTGACTTCATCAGGAATAAAATCTGAAATCTTCAAGGTTGTAGCACAGTGCCTCAACCAACTATGCTACTGCATGCCTCTCACAGAGGAGACACAATTCAAAATTTGTTAATGAAGTCAGAAGAGAAATTATACCTACACTTTGGCTATTTAAAAGGAACATCTTGGACAAGAATTACTGAGAGGGGCATTAGAGTAAAAATTGAAAGGGAATAGACTAATGGGACATTGAAGAACATGATGGTTTTGAGGGGTGCTGCAAGATATCAGGAAGAAAGGAAAGAATGGGCGACAATGAAAAAGAAAAATGGGAAAAGACAAGAGATTGAAGACTTTTTATATACCAACCTGCACAAAACATAAATAATGCTAAAAGAATGAGACATAAATGACGTGTATTTTTACCAGTGCATCCAAACAAATTGTTTTCAGCAAGGCTGTATGTGCCAGGACTGCATGTGTCACAACGTCGCGAAGTCACCAAAGGTTTACAAAAGCACTGTCCTGTCTTAGTATCACATACACCAAGACCACCCATCACACCAGGAATGTGACAGTCACACTCTGAAACAAAGAACAATCAATCTTAGAAATAACTCCAATCATTAAGAACATTTTCAGCAAACCACAGACTATTCACTGCAAATATTCAAATTATTTATTATTCTGTATTCTTCATTAGAAAGCTTCCTTCCATTCTGCTCTGTTGGTTTGCCACATTTCTGATACATACAACTGCAGCGAGTCACGTTATCAACTTAAAAGTATTTGGATAAAAATGTTCGTATTACCTGTAAGTAAAGCGTCCAATAATGTGAGGGTGAGTCAAATGAAAACCTTAAATTTTTAATAAAAAATCGAAATTTCGCGCCATTATCCTGTAAGCTGGTAAACGTGCTACAAACAGCATGCAGAATGGCCTGTAGGTTGTAGCATAGTGCAGATGCATGAACACCGTCATAGCACCAGTATAAGATGGCTGCCCCACTTGAGACTTGCACCAGGGAACAACAGCGTTCTGTTATTCGGTTTTTGTGTAGTGAAGGTGTGAAACCCATTAAAATTTATCGAAGAATGAAGTTTCAGTATGGTGATGCATGTTTGTCACAGCAGCAAGTGTATGAATGGAGTAGGAAGTTTGCAAATGGTGTGACTTCAGTGGAAGATGCTCCTTGTCCGGGTAAGGCACACTGAGTTGTGACTCCAGAGAACACTGCAGCAGTTGAAGCCATAGTGAGGGAAAACCGCCAAGTGACATTGAATGAAATTGCAGCAAGTTTAAACATTAGTCATGGTTCAGCACACCACATTATTCATGTTGTGCTCCATTTTCACAAAGTGTTTGCAAGATGGGTGCCACGGCAGCTGACTCCTGAATTGAAAGACCGACCTATTGATGCTTGTGAAGAACTTCTGCGGTGCTTTGAACGAGAAGGTGATGACTTCCTTGCAAGAATCGTTACTGGGGATGAAACCTGGGTTCACTTCCACCAACTGGAAACAAAGAGAGTGAGCAAGGAACAGCGCCATTCCTCATCTCCAAAACCAAAGAAGGGGAGGTTACTCTTTTGGGACGAAAAAGGCCTCATCTTGGAGCACTACACACCTAGAGGGACCACTGTCACCAGTGCATCATACTCAGATCTCCTAAAAAATCATCTTTGGCCTGCAATCAAATCAAAGCGACGTGGATTGCTGTCCACAGGCATCCTTTTGCAACATGACAATGCCCCATACTGCCCATACAACGGTTGCAACAATCAATGACCTGCATTCTGATTGTCTTCCTCATCCAGCATACTCACCAGACCTTGCTCCAAGTGATTTCCATATGTTTGCACCACTCAAAGAAGCAATGGGAGGAAAGACGTTCCATTCTGATGAAGATGTATGCCATGCGGTGCAAGAGTGGTTGCGCGGACTACCAAAATAATTTTTTTCTAAAGGAATTCATGCACTTTGTAATTTTAATTGCACTGAAAACTGACTCAAGCATACACAGCGTACCAAATTATATAATTCCATTGACACGTTCGATGATGGTTGCATGACAACCAAAACATGTCATGTACCAACTGCAGTTCCAACATGCATATACATAATTACAATATGAATGGTTAAGTAACAACCACACAATTTCAGAACATTACTAAAGATGTTATGTACAGAAGGATGGAAACACAGCTAAACAATTAAGAATTTAGAGAGTTCTCATATATTTGTCTTTTCTGTGTTAAGTCAAATATTTACATGTTGATATTCAATGTAATTCTATTAAATTTGGACAAGAAACAATACTAAATGTAATTCAAACCTTCACAGCCATCCGGATTTGAGGCTTGCAAATTCCAGAACAATGGACGACATTCATTGCAGATTCGTCCATGCACTCTGTCTTTGCATTTACAAAGTTCACCTGGTGGCAGTGTCCCACAACCCGTAAATGTGGCAGGTACACCAGCTGGGTCACAATTGCATTCTGCCAAACAAAAAACAAACACATATAGGAACAAAGTTTTCACATCTGATATAACCAAGTAGCTAGCCGCACCATAGCTTAAGTGGTTAGTCGTTGGCTTCCCACCGCGGTGGCCTGGGTTTGGTCAAGTGAGATTTGTGGTGGACAAAGTGGTGGTGGGGCAGGTTTTCTCAAAGTACTTCGATTTCCCCTGCCAATCTTCATTCCACCAAAATTCTCCATCATCATAAACACCCGGGGCGGGCTACAATAGGCCAATCAGTGGCCGCCGTGCCGAGTGGACCCAGTTGTGGACTCCACCCTCCCCTCCCCCCCTAAGTGAATTAAAAAAAATTAACCAAATAGCTCACATTTTAAGATCTGCACTGTAGTACAACACCACAGACATGATTGACAAAACACATCAGCCATATCATGTTCATTTAAGGTGAAGACAGCAGCCAACACAGCATTTGTATTTGCAAGAAGATTAAACCTCCACTACAAGTGAATTAGATAATGGTACAGAAAACCTCCCCTGAACTTAATCATGCACCATGTATGAATATGTATGGAGGAGGACAGGTACAGTTCTTTGTATTCTAAACCTTGGCACTAGACAAAAGCGAGTGGATTAGCTTGAAGTCCAGCCACTGGTACCCATTTTACAGGATGTTTTGTGGGACCCACAGCCAATTAGGAAACCTTGGTGACAAGAAAAATGTCTGTCTGCATCAGGACTCAAAGCCTGATTCCCTGGATTGTCAAGCCCATAGAATAGCCTACCATTCTTTTGGCTGAATGCCACTGGCTCTCCAAATGACAAAAACATTTCTGACAAAATTTGGTTATGTACATATAAAAAGATGGGGTAGTGACAGAACTAATATTTGCATTAAAGTTAAAGACATGAAAGGGGGAGTTCCAAACATAAAGCAGAAGTACTAATTCTTCCATCTAAATAATGTTTAAAAATTCTGTTCATACCTAACAAAACAACCTACTACAGTCCCATTAAGAAAGTAAAGCTATCTTTGTAACAGACAATGAAGGCCCATAGGGTTGTGAGAAGTCAAGGCTCCCACATTTTCTAGAAAATTGGGTCATAGATGGCAGTGAGGTTGTCAGCCTTATGCACCAGCCAGCCACCCTACACCCCCTGGAAGATTCCTGGTACTCATTTCTGTTAGAAGCCAAGTCGACCTTATGGCCATAGTGCAGCTGGCAGGATTAAGTCATCTGAAAAATCCAATGATCTCATCGCAAATCAAACCCGTGATCTTCCAGCTTGTAGCAAAGTGCCTCACATGTGCTACATGTGCTACCACATGCCCCAGTGCAGTCCCATTGCAAAAACCAATTGGTCAGCATTTAGGAAAAGAATCACAGTTTATTATGTGAACTCCTTTTAAACACATATATAAAATCTGTGGTTAAAATTCATATCTTTTAATGCCAAAGCAAGCAGCACATACATTAACCAAGTACTATTGCACAGTCATGCAAGGTATTACCTTCACAGATAGGGTAATTGTAAAAGCCTTCCTGGCACTTCTCACAGCGGTTCCCATCAAAGTTGTCCTTGCACTGACATCTGCCCTCATTGTCACACGATACTCCAATTGAACCTGTGTCCTCACACTTGCAGGCTGAAATGAAAATGAACATAAATATCGAATCAAATTTGGGGTTATCGTGGCAGTGTCTATGAAGGATACTATATCCTTAGATGTGATGCTATACAAATTGGTAGTTGACTGATATTTTGGAGGAATATACTGTCTCTATCTTTATGTTTGAATGTACACAAAGCTAGCAATGAGCTGGAAGTAAGAAACAGTGGACTATGTGGCATTATATCTCAGAAGTGAGCAGAAGACAGGACTCATAATCACCACTTCAAGTTCTACATCAGTCAGGTATTTTTTAAGATGAATTATGCAGATGCATGGATGAACACAGAACAAATTCCCATTCTTCATTCATTTTATGCACTCTGAACAAAAAAATACAAAGAAAACTCATGAGTCCTAATCCAGCACTGCTCATATAGAAAGCTTTGCAATAATGCTCTCCACTCAAAAATTCTTGCAAGTAGTTTTCCCACCATCCATCCACACTGGCTCTAAAAAACCATTCAATGGTAAAGGATCAGCTCAAGACACCTATTCTGAAGCTTCAATAGGGGAACCATAAACATCAACCAAAAGTCACATACATAATTTCTAGAAATAAGGCTACTCTTTAATTTTAGTTTTAATAATTATTTTAATTTTTTTCACTAAATTGCCTTAATTCTATTTATATTTTATTACTGAATATGTTCTTTTCTATATTGCTTAATTTCATTAAAATATTTTTGTGTGAGATACCTCCTAGAAAACAGGATTCACCTTATTTTCTGGTCTTTAAGAACAAATATGTAAAAGATTTTACTATTTCTTAGGAGTACAGGTGTTACTTCTTTTGCCAGAACAACTGTAATTCTGATTTCCTCACTGGAAAACATGGGGTCACCTTACATTTGGACTGATATGGTATTTTATCGGTTCTAAAAGTTCTGGCAGTGGCATAAGATTACTGGAATTGTGTTTCTAGATTAGGAGTCAAAAACGGGTTATGGTGGAACAAATTATTTTATTTATAATGTACTACTTGGAAAATCATCATTCCACATAAACTCAACTGCCTTAATCCAAAACCCAGGAACCAACTAAAACTCCTACCCTCCATCCCCCATTATCAGAAGACTGTTACATCATCAATAAAAGATATTACATTCTAAAGTCTTTCTAAAAATATACTCCAGGTTTAATTGCACATAATTAAGTACACAACTACATAGCAAACATTATTGTATATGGTGTCTATTAGTTCAGTAATAGTCTTGGGAGACTGACAATCACATCAACACATTTTCAATATGTGCACCATCAACATCCATAACCATCTGCAGACAACATACGATATTTCACGGAGCTTCTTTGCTGGCACCGACCATGGATGCCAATTTCTTTACAGTTCTATGATTGTGTGCAGAATGTCTTTTGTAAAGCATATCTTTCAGAAAGCCCCATAGGAAATAATCTCATGGATTAAGATCCGGACGGTATGGTGGCCAGAATCCAAACTGTTCACGAAAACATATACATAACACTCTGCAGTAAAACTGCTCATTGGGCACATTCAACACTGCATTTAGAATGTAAGCCATGTCCTGTTAAAAGAACGTTTCTCCAAAACTAACACCCATCCTTGGAAGAACCAGACTAAATTTTTGTTGAGGTCATGGAGATAATGATCAACAGTCACAGTATCATACAAAAATTGGCCCCACAATACCACCTGCTGAAAGAGAATGCCAAACCATGCACTTTCTTGAGTGCAAGAGTGTCTGCAATATATTGTGTGGGTGTCACTAAAAACATACACAGTTCTATTGAGTACATCACCTTGATCACTCCTGCTTCATGATAATGCCACCAGGGGCAGCACATTCTCCTAAGACTACTGAATTCAGAGACACCAAATACAGTTGTGTCTGCTATGTAGTTAGGTGCAATTAAATTTGAACTTTTTTTTTTTGGAAGACCTGTATTTTCAACATAATTCTGGTACTGATACACAGGTGGGTAATTTTCAACATGCATACATAGGACTTTTATTCCATAAAGCTGCCTAACACAAGGTATGGCATGAACTGGATCTTAAGTCAGATGCTTCTGTATAGAAAAGTAAATTCTCAGACACTTTATACTCACGAAGACATTCAGGATACTGGTAGTAACCAGGGCTGCATTGGTCACATGTTCGTCCAGCAAAGTTGTACAAACAGGTACATTTGCCCGAAGCATCACACACAGTGGAGGAACTGCCAACCTCACTGCAGTTGCAAGGCCTGCAACCAGGGTAACCATGGTAACCTGGAGTACACTGATCGCATCGTGCCCCACTGTAACCTTCCTTGCAGAGACACTGGCCAGTTGACTTGTTACAAACACCAGGTAGTGTTCCTCTCACATCGCAGTTACAGTCTGCAATAAAACCACAATATTTGCACATTAAAAACTGAAGATGCCACTGATGGCTACTTCATGAAACAACAATAATAATAATTATGATCTGAGGTTCTCACAGCAGTGGTTATAAATGGTTCTATCTTCTGATATATAATGCCACATAGTTAACTGAAAATCAACAAATTTTTTGGACTAACATTTTGCCTCCATCTTCAGGGCTGAGGAATAAGCCAAGCAAGATACCAGCATGAAACAGATAGCAAACATTATATCCTAGAAGACAGAACTCTTCAAATTCAAGGACACTTCCATTTGATGGGCCGGGGTTTTTTTTTTTTTTTCATAATTGACAAGAAAATGACTTGGTTTGTTCATCTCTGGACACATTGCATGCACAGGACAGACAAGAAATTAGCATAAATTATGTTAGTGAAACATGAAGGGAAGAGAACACTTAGAAAATAGAGGCATAAAATGTGGGATAATATTACGATGAATCCTAAGGAACTAAGATGTAATGGTGTGGACTGGATTCATGTGGGTCAGGAAAAGTTAAAGAAATCAGATCTTATGACCATGGCTTCCATAAAACCCATAAAACATGGGTGAGTTCTTGAGGTGGTGGTTGATCATCAGCCTCTCAAGGACTCTGCTCCCCTGAGTGAGTGAAAAAGAAGTCATGGATTATGTTCATGAAGATATTTCTCATTGTTATGAAACTCACTATTTCATCATCATCATCATCATAGTAGCAATAGTGTTGATGGTGGTGGTCATAGAGGCAGCAGCGGCAGCCGCCACCAGCACCATCACAAATGCTCACAATTTGGTCCTTTTGAGAACTGAGCTTGTCTTGTCAATAATCATGAAGATTAGTGTCTTCTGGGATGTAACACTGTGAAGTGTGGTTGACAGTTACCAGGATTTTACAAGGATTTACTGCCTCCATCTTCAGAACAGAAGAAAAAGTCAGTAGGTTCCTCTGAAATGTACCTCCCAGACTATGCAGTGTCACATCATAGAAGACGGTAATCTTCAATTCAAATATTGTTCAAATTCAATCCAATCAACATCTTCTTGGATTGTTTCTTTATATATGTGTGCTTCCAATATTATCATTACATCTATGCTTTAGACCCCTATGTATTCTCTCCCCCATAACACTCATATGCATGCATGCTACATGTCCTGCTTATTTCATACTCTGACCAGCTGAACAGAAAATTATGACATTTCTCACTGTGTGATTTCTGTTCATGCTCCTGTTACTTAAACTACCTTAAGTTCAAATACTCCTCCTCGCAGCATGTCATTCTGAATCACTTTTACAGGATGTAAGTGGTGAAATTGGGTGCAAAGTGCAAGAAATGTGTGATTCTAGCTGAATGTAAAGGGTCAACATGAAAGTTAACATCAAACTAGTTATATGACTGCTAATATTTATGCTAAAAACATTTGTCACACTGTAGGAAAATGCTGATTCTGATACAATGCTAAACTTTCAGTCATATTTTTGATCTAGGCACCCTGATGTGTTAATATGCTATTATTTTATGTTTTAGATACAGGAACTGTACAAAAAAATCAATTGAAATATAGTGACAAATATACTGTACATGAAAACTAACAGCTGTAAGTATGCATTTAACACAAACACATTAATCACAAAGACACAACAAGGATGATCTTTTGAGGACTAAAACACTTTTGACTGTCTGTAAGCATAAATGACAATATTTATTGACTGATGTGATAAAGGCTTGTTGTACACAACTGAAGCTACACGGCATGATGAGACTTGAGACTACATGAAACATCAAGACTATTATGATAACTTACACAGACATTCAGGATAGTTGTAGTATCCATTGCCACACAAGTCACATGTGCGCCCTCCATAGTTGCTCCTACATGAACACTGCCCTGACTCAACATCACAGACATTCGACAGAGACCCTTGTTCATTGCAGTCACAGGCTGGAAAACAATTGAGTAATATATGAGATTTTAGATGAAGATATGTATTGTAATATTTGAAGCTTTTGTGGTGTCTAAAATTAATAAAATACACTGTTCACCATGACATCAATTTGCTTCATATCGTCCATGATATGTATGTAGTGTTCGTCTTTTAGTGCACTCAATTTCACTTGTTATTTCACAACATGTTTCGGCACTATAGTGTCATCATCAGGTGCTCCATTTACGTTAATCTATTTCATTGCTTGCCATTATGTCATTGTAAAATTTAAAATTTACAATGACATAATGGCAAGCAATGAAATAGATTAATGTAAATGGAGCACCTGATGATGACACTATAGTGCCGAAACATGTTGTGAAATAACAAGTGAAATTGAGTGCACTAAAAGACGAACACTACATACATATAATGGACGAAAATCAGTGCAACAGGATGCTAAAATACAACATTGCTTCATATCACATGGAACAATGAACAAATGAATTAACTAACTAACTTATTTATTCAGTTCTGTATTTACACCAATGATCAGTCATATTATAATGTAAATGATTAATTAAATCACAATTGGGACAGCCTTTTTAAGACTGAAGCTCAGGAAGTTGCCCCCCCCCCATCCCAGAATTAACAGTATCAACAGTGGTTTAGACAAAACCAACTCACACTCTCTCTCTCACTCTGTCTATCTTGCATGGAATCAGCACACAGCACAGCTCAGACAGTCAGACATATGATAACTGAAGGGTAGTTATTTACAAAATGTATTGCAAATTACCTGTAACAGAAGGGGTGATCCACCTAATCCAGTTACGTTACTATATTTACCCAAGTGAGTAGCGGCCTCCGTAGTCTAGGGGTAACATTCCCACCTCATGACTCAAGGTACGGGGTTCAAACCCAGTGGAGGTCATGGAATTTTTAAGGGTGGAAAAATTCAGGGAACAAGTCCTCTGGGAGGGACTTTAAGCCGTGGGTCCCGTGTCGTAGATTTACGGCACGTAAAAGAACCTCATGTCTCTAGGAGACCTCTGAGCTAAATTTGGCCAAAGAGTTTCCCGCCCAAAGTAGTTTACAATGCCTCCAGTAGATGGGGGAAGTATTAGGTACCACTCCCAGAGGAGGGGGGACCTCTCTGACAGAAAGGGACTAACTATTAGATACCACTGCCAGTAGGAGGTTGGAACCTCGCTGGCAGAAAGGGGCTGATAGTAAGCACCAGTACCGGTAGGGTATGGAGACAGTAAAAATTAAAAGGGGGACGCACAATGGACCAATAACTGGTCTAAGTGCATGGGGAAACCCACCCGCTCAATACTGAATACTGAAATACTGAATACCCAAGCGAGTAAAGTTTCAAGAAGTAACAACTTTATTACTTAGTAACCTAAGCAAAAATTGATAGAGGAAAAAATGCATTTCATGAAGAGGACTATGGGGTATACAGTTTCAGACTGTAAAAGAAATGAAGGAACTACAAAATAACTACAACCAACAGAATTTAGAGGATACAGAAGGAACTACAGGGGGTGCAGGATACATGCTGTCTGAGCTCTTGACAGGATTCCAAAAACAATCTTAAAATATCAATCAAAAAGAATAGTTTAGGAAGACTTTCTAAATAATATATTTTGTTTTCGAATATCCATAACAGATATCAAGAGATTTAATGCTGGAATGGATAATGATGCTTTCTTATTAGTCTTTGAAAACAGACATAAAAAGAAGCATGTCTCACAGTGAGTTAAAGATGCAACTTGCAATGCCAATATGCTTTGTATGACTTACACAGGCATTCAGGGAAGTTGTAGTAACCATCATAACACTTGTTGCAGAACTTCCCAGAATAATTGGGTTTGCATGGGCACTGCCCACCACTTGATTCACAGTGAAACCCCCTGGTCCCATTGGGGTGACAGTCACAAGGTCGACATTCAGGATAGCCAAAGTAGCCAAAACTGCAACTGTCACAGTTAGGTGGAGTGAATTCGACACGACATTCACAGTGGCCCGTGCCCTCTGCACAGTTCCCAGTTGAGTAAAAGTAGTTGCACTGGCAAGCTGAAACATGCAACATAAATATAAAAAATTATAACTTATTCTATTTATTTAAATTCATTTATTTATTACTGACTCAGTCTTCATGTTATACTCATTACAATTCTTGTGCACAGTACAGGTCTTGCCTGTTTGTAAACTTGCAAGGTCACAATACTTGCAGCAGCAACATACTAATTCTCATAGAAGAATGAACAAGTTGGCTCAAGTAGTAACTCTTTGACTTGCAAATGTTAAGTGGCTCCTAGATTTTGACACTCTATAGTTTCCTAGACATGTATCAACATTTTAGAGGCACTTTCTGCTCTACATTCAGGGTAAACTGACCTGGAAGTGGCGGCAATGGAGTTCCTTCAAAACAATAGTACCAATCTACAGAACTATATGGCACATAGTCACTGCCAGGAGAAATCCCATGATTTTGGCTTGCATGTGGGATGTGTCTGGTACAAATATCAGCTTAGGCATCAAACTATCAGGGCTAAGGTTCTTTAGGTTTTACTCCAGGCAAATTCTGGTATATTATCTCAAATTAGGCCACACCATAGCTCAAGCGGTTAGTCGCTGGCTTCCCACCGTGGCGGCCCGGCTTCGATCCCAGGTCTGGTCAAGTGGGATTTGTGGTGGACAAAGTGGCGCTGGGGCAGGTGTTCTCCGAGTACTTCAGTTTCCCTTGCCAATCTTCATTCCACCAATTGCTCCACAATCACCCTCACCTATCATCTGGGGCTAGTGCAATAGGCCAGAAGTGGCCGCAGTATAAGGGACTTAGTCATACCCCAGTAGCAAAAAGAAAATCTCAAATTAGGTTACAACTACTTTCCACCACTTTCTTTTCGATCTACCATTTACCATTCATCCAACTGTGCAACTCTGTATAATCAGAGCTACTGAAAGCATCGTTACATGAAGCATAAATTTGTAAACTGTCACTGAACCATGCCAGATTGATGGTTTGCCACACAATTTGGATGCCATACCTATTGCTGTACCTCTCAGACTCTGAGGATGAATAACAAATTCAAGATGATAAACATGCAGGCATTTAACTGGGATGTACATATGACAGTTGTTCAAATAAAACACATTTGTAGATACACACTGGAAGATGATGTCAAGGATCCCATATTTTAGTGCAGAGTTCTATGTGAGGGACACACCATCTAGTATAACAATGTGATGCATGCATCAACACCCATGGGAACTACTTTTAACAACTTCTATTCCTTCACTCAGCACAATCTCCAAATGGATTTGATTTCAAACAAGTGTTGTACAGCAACAAATATATGGAGATCTTGAGCTCATAAACTTACGATAACAAACATCTGTTTCATTGAGGTTCTTTCCAAAAGGACGATAGTAACCAGGTTTGCATCGGTCACAGTTGATGCCATCCGTGTTGTCTCGACAGTTCTGGCATACACCACCTCCCTCATAGTAACCATGGATGTCTAACGAGCGCCGCTCCCTGTCCACCTCAGGGTCATATATGCATTCCTCAGTGTGTCCGAAACAGTTGCAAGCTGAAAATCAAAGTCACTATGAAGCTCTTTTCAGCTTCAAATGCTACTTTTCTAATGCTATAAGAGAATAGCATGTAAGCACAATTAAGTATCGTAAAAATGTATTCATCAGTCAGAATTGGTACCTACAATGAATACTATCATCAGTTAACCATCCACTGTTAAGATCAGCTAATAAATCAACCTGTTAATAGAAATAAGTTCACCTGCAAAGGAAGATGCCTAACAACATATTTATAAATAAATAAATAATAATAAATACAACATATGATTTATGAACCTAGAGGAAGAAGGTCCAGTGTCAGTTCTAAAGGGTTCTAATGATGATATATTATACTTAGGATTGCCGAGTTTTTGGACTTGTCATCACTGAATAAGCCACACAAAACACAATGTTTCAGAAACTCATTCTGTTGCTACAGATATAGCATCATACTCTGTGTTTTCTTCATGTACTCTGGTAAAAAGTGGGGTGGCACTTACTCAGTTAACTCCATTGGAAAGAGCTCCTGTGATTGAGTTTAGTTCTTCTCAACAGACACAACAAAGTGGGGACCTTCCACCTTTCCACCCGGGAACAAAACAGACTAGTTCTGAAACATTACCTTCTGTTCAGAATATTAGGTGATGGTCTGAGTCAAAAATCCTAGTTACAGTTTACTATGAATTTCATGTTAAGTAAAACTGAAAAAAACATTCAGATTTGTGAAAGATATTAAAATGGTATATACCTGAAGGAATATGAAATTTTATAAGACCTCATTATGGCTGGATGGATCAACTACTCATACATATTTTGAAATCAGAATAGGTCAATGGCTCTGGCCATTTTGATAAAAGTCCATAATTTTCTGGGATGTGATGCCACATAGTTTGGTAGATAGTTACCAACATCCTGGAAGAACCTGCTGCCGCCATCTTCAGAGTGATGGAAGCAACAGATTTCTCTCGTATGATGGCACCCCTCTACCCTACTACACAGCATCACAATCTAAAAGACCATACTCTACAGGGTACACGAGAGCAGCAGGTTCCTACAGAATTCTGGTGTTTGCACCCATCTACCAAATTGTATGGTAATAAATGCCAGGAAACCATAAACTTACCACCTGCTCTCATGAGAACCTCACATTTTACCTGGTGATTTTTATAAGACAAGGTTCATACTGAGTCACTATTTTGTTCAAGAAAGTATAAAACAGGGCGAGGGATTTAGAAAGATAAATGAGGTATATGTTTTGCTTGTTTAACCAAAGTCTATGTATTCACAGTCCCTCGATAATTCAACAATTGTTTATTCACCACTTAACACAACGTGTTTCGGCCATAGATAGCCATCTTCAGGTGTTTTAATGCATCCAACTGTTACGCTGTTCTGAAATGTGCTTTTATTGCGCATTGCAGTCCAACTAAAATAACATAATTACTTAAAATCCATTAAATTTTCTATTAAAATTATTTGTAAAATCCTATTCCACCTCATAAGGGGTGTCATCCGCTTGTTTAGAGTTATGAATTTATTTCAGAATGTTTGTTTCAGCAACTCGTTTTCCTGTTCATTAGCCTGTTGTTTTGCTAGGTCTGCAATATGCCTCTTGTTTGTGTGTTCCCTCTAGCAGTGTGTGGTGCTATCTTCACTACTTCCTTTGGTTGTTTATTATAAACCCCCAAAGCATGTTTATTCATAAACATAAAGCACTCACGTTCACATACGAAAGGTTGGTAACTCTGTGACTGCCTCCATGCCTTCTGCTGGAAGCCAGGACAGCATGTATCACAGTTGCCACCACAGGTATGGTGCTGACAACGGCATAACAGCTTGTATGGGTCATTGGGATCTGTGATGTCACATGTATCTGCGTGGCCATTGCACATGCAGCGTCCACCAATGCTGATGTCTTTAATGGAATAGAAATACTGGAACATAAAAATACTTCCAAAAGTTACTCACTCCTCAGATGGTGCAATATATAGTTCATAATAATATTTTTGTGCGAGAGACAAACAAAGAAACCAATAAACACACAAATGACTTCTGGGACGTGGCACTGTCCCCTATTGTCTCTTCATGCTTTCTTCTTAATACTGCTCAAAAGTTGTATATGCATTTCTTGCATTTTTCTTTCACTTCTCTTTCGTTATTGGGGGCATGCGGTAGCATGCTACAGTCCCAATGGATTTTTTTCAATTGACCTAATCCTTCCAGCCATACTATGGCCCTGGGGTCGACTCAGCCTCTAACGGAAACGAGTACCAGGAATTAATCAAATAATTTTCCTGGGGAGTAAAGCGCGGCCAGCGCATAAGGCTGACAACTTTACTGCCATCTTTGAGCCGACTGTCAAGATAGTGTGGACCCTCAATGTCTCACAGCCCTATGGGCCTTCACAGCCTGGTACAGGGACAGCTTTACTTTTTACTTTACTCTCTTTCATTATGACAAACAGCTTCAGGTACAAAGATGGATTTGCAGTCAGATGACATGGATGAATATTCAGATTCAGTTCACTATAAGAAATTAACTTTACTGTAACAGTAGCCATGAAAGATGCACAGCAATGTAACCGAATATTGTGTACCGGTATGTTCATGGAGGGAAAAACAAAATCATTGATAAATGCAATGTAAGAAACAATCTGCAGATATTTTGAAGACAGGGTAAACATTAAACCAACAAATCACTGTGTTGCAATTTATAACATAACTTACTCTACGGGTTACAGTTGGATCTTGACGGGCTACAGACATAAGGTGCCCCAGCAAAGTTTTTGTTCGTAGAAAACGGAGACGAACATTGGTAGCCCTAGTCCATTCTTGTAGCACAGTTGAATTGAAGAAATCATTTGCTGATGGACGATTGTTCAGCAAGGATACTACAATCTGTAGCATAAAATGAAGAGCATGTGATTATTTGTATTTTTAACTTTTAATATGGTACATATGAACATATGAGGAGTCAGTAAATAGGTCACAAATTGAAGTAAAACAGCTGTAATGGTTGTAACAGGTTTTCTATGTGTATTACTAGGTAGCAGCATGCTCTAGCTTCATGACAGTATAGGTTGCAGAAGTGCATACGCATGTTCAGAGGCTAGTTTCAGTAGTAAAAATGGCAATCATGCTTGAGGTGTATACCACCGAAAAACAGTACTCTGCTTTGCATTTTTTATGGGAAAAACGTCCCAATGCAAAGGATATTCATAATATTGAAATGCTTCCTGTTTATGGTAGGAAGTATTCATTGCATAAAAGCAATTCACAACTGGGTCGAAAAATTCTTTCAAGGATGTAAGATTTGAGGTTTTCACGGCGGTGACTATGAAGAAAGCAGTCTTCTGGGATGTGGCACCGTGTAGATGTGATGTTAACCGACGTTTCGGTATACAAAACCTTGCTTCTGTTTCCAGCCCCTTCCCCCCTCCCACTCCACTGATTTCCCATGTGGACTTGCCCCCCCCCCACTGGTCTCACATAGCTGTGTTTATTTCCAACATCAGTCCAGTCTGCTTGTAACGGTTCTCACGGTCTCTTCGCTTGCGGATTTCTTATTTTTCTTTCTAACCTGAAGATGGAGGCGATACGTTCCTCCGAAACGTCAGTTAACACCACATCTACACAGTGCCACATCCCAGAAGACTGCTTTCTTCTTTCAAGAATGTTCAAAAGTTGCAGATGATGTCTGATCATGTACGAAAGTGGCCAAGACAACAGTCAAAAGTCTTCTATGCTGCGGGTTTTGACACACTGGTAAAGCAGTGGGACAAGTGTATCAGTGTTGGTGGAGGATATGTTGAGAAATAAATGTTTCTTTCAAGGTTTGAATATAATGTTTCACATTTGATATCCATTTGTAACCTACTTACTGACTCTGCCTCGTAACAAGGATGAAGTAGCATGGAGAAATGTTGGGCAAGGACAGCAATAGGGTTCCGTTAGAGAAGCATTCTTCAATTTGTTTAGTTGATATATGTGTGCCTTCATTTCATAGTGAGACTTCATGCATACCTTGGTCTCAGACTGAGACTTCACATACTCCTTTTGGTGGTGACACAATTTTTAACCCAGACTGCATTATCATGCATCATAAACATAACAAGACATGGGGAATCTTTCATTTAAAAAACATATTGTCAATGTTCTCGATACAACGGCTCACTGTTGGAATTACAGTATCGCTATTGTTACTTCTTATGCAACGGTCTGTTCTAGCGTTTCCATAGAAGTGACTCTTCTGGATTCCAGACACGTTACAATATATTTTCTGTGCACAGAAAAGTTGCACAAAAAAACACTGTCATGGCTTTACAGGCCCTTCCAACCTACCAACCTACGTTTTCCAATATATAAAATATGTCTAACACTCTCCCCTTTGAGGCTTCATGAAGCCCTGGAGGTATATGTATCAATGGTTCAGAACAGCTGCATCAAGAATATCAATGTACAACCTCCATGAAGATCAAGAACTGTGTGAAGAGAGAACAAGTGAGGAAAGATATACAAACATGAGTACAGAGAGAACTGACAGATTAATGACAAACAGAGAATAATGGCAGTTAGAGGTTAATAGGTAGGCAGATGAGAATTCTAGCTATCAAGAGTCCTCTTTTCTGGGATACAATGCCATGTAGTCTGTTGAAAGTCAACAGATGCATCAGAAGAACATGTCACCTCCATCTTCAAGATTGAAGAATAAGCCAAGCAAGGAACCAGCAAACCTGCTTGCTATCTGCTTTATGATGATTTCTGCTTTGGCTTATTCTTTGACCCCTGAAGATGGAGGTAACATAGTCCTCTAAAATGCTGGTTCACCTTCGACAGATTACACAGTGTTATATCCCAGATGACAGGATTCTTCACAACCATCAATATATGCTAGTTGTCCTAGATGTCATTAAATATCTTTGTCCTTTTATCCACACATACCTCACCACCTTCCAGAGGCACCACCTTGGAGTACTGTGTCTCACATACTACTGAATCATCTCTAGTGATGGGCTGCAAGCTCTCTTGTCCAAAATAGGTCGCACAGTCCCTGCAAATGTTAACACCAGTGTTATGAGCATTTCCTGGAAGGGTTGCCCAGCCTTTACGCCAGATGGAATAATGAAATTTGTCTTGAATAAAGATGAAAATGTTCTGGGATGTGACATCGTGTCACTTTGTACTGGGTACCAACATTCTGGTAGAACCTCCATCCTCTACCATGAAGGCAGACGCAGCAATTTCCTCCAAAATGGTGGTATCTTTCAAACTACAAAGTGTCACATCAAAGAAGACAATAATCCTAATATTTATCATGAGAACCTCCCATCATTATGTATATTTGGATATCATTAATAACCAATTATTTTGATATATGGCTTACAAATATGGTCAAGAACTAAGAGACATGTCGAGATATTATAAATGCAATAGATGACATACTGTGTAGGTTGATGAGGGACAGAGGGAAGAAGAGTTGTACACTCAACGCAGTCATCAGTTTGCAACACCACTCAACAAGGTAATTTTTATTTCTACTGCATTAAGCAGTACACTGTCACCAGGACTAACATTCTGAATCTCCAAAGTGACTAGACAAGATGCATATACAGCATTTCCATCTGAAGGGCTCAACAATTTGTATGAAACTCAAAGACAATCCCAGTGTACTTACTGCAGAAAACATGACTGATCAAAATCCTATATGTCATGTATTCACATACAAACACAAAAGAAAGAAAGAGGAGCACAGAAACTGTTCATTTGGATGGCAAAAATTCTATGTAATCCTGTCAAAGTAAATTAGCATAAAAAATTATGAAATAATATGCCATACCCTGGTGTGTCAGCAAAGTATTGCCATGGCTGATATGTTACTCCATTGTCAACAGACTTTTCCAAAACCCATACACCAGGTCGAGGTGAGTTTGCCATCTTGATGAACACATAGGCAACATGGAACTCCTGAAAAGATAATTAAGCTTACTTCTTCACTTCTGAAGCACATGAGTGACTAACATATGACTAGTTCTTGCTATAAGGAAGTACTGATTGCTGCATAAACTGTATAAAAGTATTTTCTCAAAAATAGTTCTCAATTCCAAGCTGTGAGAGGCAAAAAATATATATATATTTCATATCACATTCCCAACTTACACCCAGTGTACACATCTACATACAGTCAAACCCCCTATTCTCTAATGAGAAACAGGTTTCATCACCAACCGATAAAAACCTTCCATGGAGAGATTGTAACAATGAGTTAACTGGACTGGGACAACAAACCCTGAACACCAGTTGAGGGAAAATATTGAACTGAGAAGCATTAAACAGGGAGCCCATTTTACAAGCATCTATGTAAAAAAAAATGCACTTCAGCAATGAAAGTATAAACTCATATGTTGAAAAAATTTTGTTTAGTTATGGTTTATTTAACAATGCTATCAGCACTCAGACTAAATAGACTAAATAGGCTAAATCCCCTAAATGCAATCCAGGAGCGATGTCCACTCAGGAAAAAAAAATACTAATAACTTACGAGCTGACTTTCCTTACACTTTTATGTCCACAAATTACTGATTGTAATCAACAAAAATATGACTACAATATTCTTGGTAAAACCGTACAATCTGGAACTGCAATAAACGACTACTTCTTTCCCACTGTTCTTGATGGAATAATAAACACATATTATTGTTGACTTGAACTGATTCTGACGATGGTGTATACTGTACTTCTTTTGGCTTATTTTGGACTTCACCCATCGTCTCGTATGTAAAAGACAAAAGACCACGACGTTTCGGAGACTGGATCTGTCTCCGTCTTCAGGTGGATAGGGAAGGATAAACCTACTCAGTTGGGCCCGCTAGAAAGAGCTAGTCTCGATCACTGGACCTTTTTTTTAATGCCTAATCTGCGTGGATAAAGAATAGGTCCAGTGATTGAGACTAGCTCTCTCTAGCGGGCCCAACTGAGTAGGTTTATGCTTCCCTATCCACCTGAAGACGGAGACAGATCCAGTCTCCGAAACGTCGTGGTCTTTTGTCTTTTACATACGAGACGATGGGTGAAGTCCAAAATAAGCCAAAAGAAGTACATATTATTGTTGTTATGACAATTAACAATGCATGCTTGGGTCACCCTTCTTAACCTATGGTCTGCTCATGCTAGTCCACTAATTCAAAGAACGTCATCCAGCAAAGGAACACTGATAGTCCACGCAGCTGGTCAATAAGCACATGAGAAAATACTGAACAGCTAATTTTTCGTTTGTAGTTTCCTTTGGACAAAGATTCTCCTACCGCCCTTTTGGGGCCATGTTCGTGGTGTTGTGAAGATGTGGACGCTTGGAGTTTTCAGTTCTCATGCAGCACACCTCAGTAAAGGGGTGGCTGGGTCCTGTTCCAACTATCGGATCCTTGAGGCGGATAAATTATGCCCTCGAACGTAATTATGATCGCTGATATTTGAGATGGGTGATCTTAGAGAGACAGGATGGGATAGTATGGACTGAATTGATCTGGCTCAGGATAGGGACCAGTGGAGGGCTCTTGTGAACACGATAATGAACCTTTGGGTTCCATAAAATGCTGGGAAGTTCTTGAGTAGCTGCACAACTGGAGGCTCTCAAAGGGCTTACTTCCATGGATTTTTAGCTAATATTTGATATTTTATATGGGCGATATTGAAGTAACTGGGATAGTTCAGTCACTGTAGTGACTAGGATTGAAGATGGACGACAGAAGAATCGGGTTTCGATACCTTGAAGAGATTCCTGTTTTTCTTCACAGAGTCCAGACCGACTGTGGGGCCAATCCAATGGGTACTGGGGACAGGGGGGCCAGGGCGTGACGCTGATGACACCTCCATTTATTAGTAAGGTTAAAAGTACGTGGAGCTCTACCTCTGCTTCTTCTTTCATCTTCTCGGTGTGTTGCTAAATTAAGTACAGTGAAAAGTTTACCTTTGCCTTTAGGCGCATTCTTTTTAGCTTACTTTTCCAAAATAGGCTCATGTGATCTCCTTCCTGTCTGCGTCCCCCCACCCCTCCATCAACGTTTGAATGCCTGAATCAGTCTTCATGAAACTCCGTATGTATATCATGGCACCTAAGCCCATCTCAACGGCGCATTTCATAAATTCCTCCCATCAGTCTGTGTGTCTGTATGTATATACCCCTATCGTTGCTAGGCAACGGCTCGGTAAAAACGTTAACGCGTCTACACATGCAATAGCATTATTGTTTGGCGCGTAGTTTTCTATGAGTTCCATGCCGTATCAAAGAAAAGTAGGCGATTATTTCTTTTCAGAAAATACAGTTCATTTTAGGAAAGAACTTCAACAAACCTGAAGAAACAATTATGTACAGTACAAGCACAAATAGGCATACAGACGTGTGCGACGGATCTGTCACGTTGGTACTGCGGTATGTATACGCGCACAGCAGGGACACGCGGTAGCGTGGTTGGTTGAGGTACTATGCTACAAGCCACAAGATCGCGAGTTCGATTCCCGATGAAGTCAATGGATTTTTCAATTGACCTAATCCTTCCAGCCGCACTACGGCCCTGGGGTCGACTCAGCCTCTAACAAAAATGAGTACCAGGAATTTTCGTGGGGGTAATGGCCAGCCGGTGCGTAAGGCTGACAACCTCACCGCCATCTGTGAACCGAATGTCTAGAAAATGTGGGAGCCTCGACGTCTCACAACTCTGAGCTTCCCGCAAGAAGGTTAAATATTTGTAACCTTCCTTGACTGTATTTACCCACACCCACACACACTAGATCCAGAAGCGTATGAGGCAAGGCTATAACCACTGAAGAGAGAGTGGTCCAAGCAAGGGCCGATACGGAAACCCTCCCGTGCACGTTTGTGAAGTGGCTGCCAAAGCGATAGTCCACCCCCAACATCCTGTGCAATTAGCTCGCTTCCTGTAGTCTGGGTGGTTGATAAGATAACACAGCAATGTGAATCACAGACTCAAGAAGAAAGAACGCACCGATAACAGGGTACAAAGTTCATGCTTCAACTGTTCCATTTTCATCTTGTGAAACGAGAAATCCATGCCTCCTCTTTGCATAGCACAGCGTTATCCATCGCACAGCACGGGCCAAGTTGTTTCTCGGTCTTGCTTACTCCTCTGAGGCCTGATATTGCAGTCAGAACCTGCCTCTCGGTAAACACACTGTTGTCCCAATTACAGAGAACACACGGGTAATGCTGTTAGGGAAATAATCGCTGTTTATTGTGAGAACCATATGCGATACACAAATACATTCTGAGGACAAAATGAGGGGTTCTTTGAGAGGATCTGCGGTTCTGACGGAAATGATTATGAAGAGCTCTGTCTTCATGGATATAATGCCGTGTAGTTCGCTGAAGGTCTACCGACATTTCGGAGGAACATGTCGCCTCCGTCTTCAGGGTTAAAGACTTGACCAAGCAGGTAAATCTGGGCCGCGCCATTGCTGAAGCGGTTAGTCGCTGGTTTACCACCGCGGCGGCCCGGCTTCGATCCCGGGTCTGGTGAAGTAGGATTTGTGGTGGACAAAGTGGCGCTGGGGCGGGTTTTCTCTGAATACTCCGGTTTTTCCTGCCAATCTTCATTCCACCAAATTCCCCATCATCATAATCACAGAGGGCAGGCTACAATAGGCCAATCAGCGGCCGCCGTGCCGAGTGGACCCAGTTGGACTCCACTGCCCACTAAGCGAAGCAGGTAAAGCTGCTTTGCTTGCTGCCTGCGTCATGCTGGTTTCTTGCTTGACTCACTCTTCGAACGTACAGACATGTCTCCAAGACATGCCGCAAGATTGGCAGGGGAAACCGGAGTACTCGGAGAAAACCTGCCCCAGCCCCACTTTGTCCACCACAAATCCCACTTCGAACCCGGGCCGCCGCGATGGGAAGCCAGCGACTAACCGCTTTAGCTATGGCGCGGCCTATTTTTATGTTACTAATTTTATATTAGCCGATCACAATGGCCGTGCGGTCTAGGGCATGAACCGTCTTCGCTCGCTCGAACGTTGGGGATAGTGGTTCCAACTCCCACTCGAGGCATGGATATCTGTATGCGTTTATTCTGTGTGTAGTGAGTGGCCTTGTGAAGGGTTGATCTCCCGTCCAAGGAGTCTTACCGACTGTGTACTCGTATAAGATGAAGAAAGTGAAAAAGCAGCCAAGGCCCAAGAAAGTGCTGTACAGACATAATAATAGTAATAATTTTATTTTACCCTTCCGCCTCTGATCCGTCTGAGTATGTTTCAGACTTCCATCTGCCTGGATTGACATTCAACAGGCATTCTTTCTGCAAGGGCTCCAGTGGTTGCCATATGAACGCTCAAACGAAACGAGGCCACCCAGACGTAAACAACGGCTTGCATTTAGTTCCCTCTCGAAAGAACTTCCCCCTCTCCACGACCTCCGCATTGTATTACAGTCTCTTCGAATGACAAAAGCCAACGAACGGGCATCAGCACAAGCTCTGTAACGGTGAGATCTGAGGTTCTCAGGGCATGACTATGATCACTTTAATATGGCATGTGACATCATATAGTCTGGTAGAAGGTTACCAACGTTTCGAAGGAAACTGCTGCATCTATTTTCACGATATAAGGGTATTTTATCCTGAAGATGGAGACAGTAAATTTCTCCGAAAAACTGTTAACTTTCTACCAGACTACATGGCGCCACATCCCAGGAGACAGTAACCCTCGTAACTGTGTCTTGACAGAACCTGAACGTGAAGCCAACAAATTCCTTCGAAACATCAACAATGAGCTATCGCATCACACAGCGTCACACCCCAGAAAACAATCATATTTACTGACGTGAGAACCTCCAGAAGCTCAACAATTGTATCTCCAGAAACATATATCTTGTAGATGGAGGCAGGTTTCTCCGAAACGTCGGTAGCCTACACGGTGTCATATCCCAAAAGACAATAATCATCAACCTTAATGAC